TCAAGGTTATTTGTGATCACAGTATTGCATCTGACTTTCACTTCTTAGTCGACCTATCTTTGTGGTTTTCTGCTATGGCGTTTGAGTTCGACTGTTATCCACACTTTTTGGTGGGTGTTTTTGAGATGCTCGTTTTCCTTTTGTATTTTGGGCTGTGTTTCTTTTTGTTTGTGCTTTCTTCCATTGGGTTTTTTCTTTGCGCGGTCTCTTTAGCTTATGGATGCTTTTTTGTGTTCCTTCCTTAATTGAACTCTACCAGACTCACAAACTCCTTTTGCCAGTAGTGTTTGCGTGGTAACCGCATCTTGCCTCGGGGATGTGTATTGCCGCTACTCTTGAAAGCGTTCACAAGTTATTCCTTCTGGTGCTTTAAGCGTATAGCTGGTGGTGTGTTGTAATGTGTGCTCTACTCTCCTAGAATTTTAAAGCATTCCTCAAGTTATTAAAACGCTTGGAGCTTTATTCCGAATACTTTGAAGTAATTTTAATCAGTATTATCTGTTAAATTCTTTATTGGAATTTGGTCACCCTTGTTCCGTGCTGACGCTCAGAAGTCGAAAATGAGATCAGACTGTTGAAGTGGCATATTATGGTCGTACCGGACGGACTTTCTCCATTCCTTTGCAAATTTGGAGGATCTGCTTTTGTAGTTGATTTACACGATCTTGCTTTGAAACTGTGGTAGCAGGAAACTGTCCTAACGGAACGGAGCTGCTCCACTTTAGTCCCATTTTTCAAAGAGTACTCACACTTGGGAATGCGCCAATCATTGACGGATCAGTCTGATCTCAATCGCCTCTTTGTTACTTTCCCGTGTCATGCTCCATAAACTTTCTGACGCCTTTAAAAGAGCAAGCCGGCTTAAGTGGAAGTCAAGACTGCATCGTTTACGTCCTCCTTTTGTGTCCATTGTTGTGGCGCCGCTATATTCCTTACGATTAGGGGAAATTTAGTGATAACAACGTTCATACATTAATAAATCCTGCTATCTTTGTTTTGCTGCTCACCGTAGTCGTTTTCTTGGACTTAAATGGACGGCTTCGACGCCTTCAGTTCGATGGATCCTTTGGGACTGTTTGCTCGGGAATGATGTACCCATAAGTATGTAAAACTTTTCACAGTGCCATGATCTCTAGCAGCTCACAGAAGGACCAAACAGCAGTGGCTGCTTATCGTTTTTCGCTGTGCTTTGCTTTGTACGCTGCAATTGCTAAGCTTTGCTCCATGGTTGGCATGCACCCACCCCCGCGTTGACTCTTGGTGGTAATCAGCTGGAAGTTTATCAGAAATTCAACTCCCTGGCTTACTGTATCTGCAATTGTGGGATCGAAGATAATATCACGGACGGCATAACAAACGCTGCACGTGTCGAAATCTTGGAAGACACTTGAACCACTCAATATGTCATGAATTCAGAGGTTTGGAAACAAATTCACTAACCGATTGTTTTCAAACCTCTCTGAACTCAAATGCTGGTTGTGGTTTTGTTCATCTCAAGCGCAAGAGTTGTGATACCTAGTCGTCCAAATCGACAGGTCTAGGGAATCCTGTTATGTTCGACCACCGCGTGAGCACTGAGCCCGTTTAGCGTCTTGTTTTTGGCGCAGAATACGCAAGTGAACCGCTCAGCACCCTTATTTCATATCCTGTGTTTACTTGACTGGACTATGTGTTACGCATGTCAGCACACCGACTCCCGCCACGTGCTTTGTTTGCGCGACCGTAGTGTGGATAGAAGAATGGAAGGGGAGCCAACTGATTACGTGGTCAAGAGAAATGAAGTCCTTCACTACAAATTTGGCCTCAATCGGAACCTGTCGACTCCCTGGTAGAGGCACGAAAGACGATCTAAACGTTTAATTTTATACAATCGTCGGTATGGCGAGAAACCGACCACAGTGTCATCTGTGCTGTGTTTCTTTATCTTACCCTATCCCGGTTAGCCTTCCGCTCCAATTACGATCTCTTTTCTAATGCATAATATAGCACAAAGCATGGTAATATTTTTTGTTCCGTTTTTGTTTTATTTTTGACGTCACCTGATTAAGTTGTACTGCGGCACAATAGCCAATGCGTAGGATGGGGTTGACTGTTATGGCAAGCATTTGGAGGATGTCCGGTTTTCGCAACTTGCGGTGTTCTTTGGTTTGCCCTTATCCCTACTTAATTTTTCATAATGCTCGTGGTCCATATCTGGGCTTCATGTAGATTGGTTTCCATTTTTTGTGTACTTTCGGACGCTGCAATATAACTGCTAATGATGTATATCTCTGGTGCAAGGCCCAGGATAATCGATGCTATCTGTTTACCACTCTCTGACGTTCATCACTGTTCCTTTGTATGTTCTGGACGTGTTTCTTAAACGATCGCCGCATTATCACCTGATTATCCACACGTTATCGACCGTTGGTTGTTTACCTTTCGCGTAGATGGTTCACAGCCTCTCTTACATGTTTTTACGCTCAGCACTGCATTGTGGCTTCGGGTGAATCTCTACACTCTCGAACCCCTTTCATTCGTTGGCTCTATTTCACTAGTAATCCGACGGGGCGCGTTTGAGCCTGTGTAGGAACCGGGCGACCCTCGCATTATCGTTAGCCCACATACCACTGATAGTGGTTGCGCAGAAGCGAAGCCTCGGTACGCAATACCGACGTGCTACTGATGCCTTCTACTTCACTTATGTCAGAACGTGTCATGTGGTTACTCCTTTACACTTAATCAAATGTCCGACAGGATCTCAACCTTAATAAGTGCTTTCGCTAAATATATATCTGCAGCTGCAAAAGGACACTTTCGCCCAGTTACTCCGCTATCACTTTGGCGTCCACATGTGGTAAGCTCATTCGTATTAATTGTCATCCCTGCAACTCAATACTAGTGAACGGAATAAAATAAAATTCACTCAGGCAATGTGCGATTGTTGTCTGGAATCACAGGCACTATCGTCATTATGCGATTCCTTCTTTCGATTGTCATCATCCGTAAACAAATTAAGCGGTCGTTTTGCCCTATCCAGACGGTAGTAGCACGCATTTCTTTCGCGTTTCTAAGAATTCGGGCTTGTGTACATTAGAGTCAGGTTGGGTTTTATGTGCCCGAGTGAGTGCCTTCTTAGCATTTTACAATAGATACCGCGGATGGACTATGTAGCACCATTCCAAATGCAAAATTGTAAGCTGGAAAAGATAAATTTGGGCGCACATGTGTTACTCGAATAAACGGTCCCGAATCTGGTGTTAACGGTTGCACGTTGGTATTTACATCCTGTTGACGGCACACTGTCGAAGCCCAGTTTTCTTCCTTTGGAACGATGGTTCCTCATTTTACGAAAACGTATTCTGTTGATGTGTTTATGATTTATGGCCGAGACCAACAAACCAAAATGCGCAGTATCTCAAAGTTCTATTTCATAAATTCGTTCTTGTAAATAGTGTAACAGAAACATATTTAGTGAAAACTGATGACTTCGCGGTAGATAGAGTAAAAATGATGTTCCAGTGCAAAGGCAACTGCTGATTTTCACACCCAGTGCTTGGATGGCAACCTGCATTAGTGAATTACATATTGTGATACATCACTTTTCATCTTCCACTTCTATGCGCGTAACGCTGCTAATACGACAGGTTTTAGCGCTGCTTTCGATTCTTCTTTCAAGGAACTTTGAGCTCGCTAAATGGTCGGATTACTAGTTGTATGCAGTTGGTGGAGTACAAGCTGCTTTTGTCTTTTGCGTTTTAGACAAAACACTTGATCATCATGGTGTGGTCCGTTCGACTTAATCGCGGCCTCTTAGGGTTACGGTACTCAGATTTCTCCTCAAACCAGACTGATAGAGTGGGCACTGCTAACGCTGGTCGAATGTGCACAATCAAAACAACTATTCCTTACGATTATTCAATGGTAGCCTAAACATTCTATTCACACAATTTCGAAGTTTTTATGTTTACGTACTTATGAGATTGGGCTCTGCTCTTTCAAACCAGTTGCACTTACTTGTCAGCTAAGTAAAATTCATCCGTCTGGTGTACGGCCGTTCGTTTGAGTGGCCGCCGCACATTTTAGACTTGCTTTACCTCATTACCGGATTGGCGTCTGACAGCATTTCCCTCTGTTGTAGAGGCACCCACTTGGGTGCATCTAACCTATTTTCCTTCCCACTGCAACTATATCATGTATGTCAACAACATCCACTATGCTTCACGCTTGTCATAATTGTCCTTGTTAATTATCCTTTTTCTCATTTTCATTAACAGTACAACTGCCGGTGATTCAGTTCAGCGGCCTGCGTCATCTGTTGCCTCAGTTATTCTGTTAATTTCCCTAGTATCCTTTTGTTGTGTTCAAATTCTTCCCCCTCTTTTATTACCCACAGAGAATGCTCAGTAGGAACCACCTCCTCCAGCGGATCCGGTTCTTCTCACCGAATGGACTACATAATCACCGTACCTGGTCCGGTGTTGGCGGAGCATCTGGCAGCTCTGCTACCCGAGCAACCGTCGCAGCACACACAGCCTGCTCGTGTCCCGAACATTTCTCCGACGTATGTAAAGTTGGACATACTTACCTACAATGTGGATGTTGACGCGAGTTCATCGTACCCCAGTCTGCCTCCTCCCATCCACTTGTGCACGTATTGGCGTTGTGAGCGAGTTGCCACCGATTTCCGGCTGGACTACGCTGCTCATTGGCCTTGGGATGAACATCAGCCCAGGTATTCTACTTCTCATCCGACTCTCAATCCGAATTGAATTTTGCATGCTCATTTGCTTCACTCGACTTACTCTTATCGACCATCGTCCTCATAGTGACTACGGTGACATACGGTTTGATTTGCGTATGTCAGTCATCTGTTGTGATTGCCTCCATTTCTGCGTACTGCAGTCACACCCACCGGTAAGAGTTGTTTTGGGGACTTGTTCGCACTCAGTGAATTTTACCCCTTACAGCATTTGTTGTAATCGTTTCGCAGTGGACTCTTAATAGTCATTGTTTTGCCTAGTGTCTTATTTGTTTACTGGTGTTTAGGTCCACGCTAGTTTTAAAAACCTTTCCAACCTTTTACTCAGAAGCGCTGCGCACACGTGATACTTTTGGTACACATTATGCGGCTTCGCACTTTTCCCCATTAACTTAGGAACTGTGCTCTACTAACCAGTTTCAAATGAATGAAACGTCCCAGTGGCGTTTATTTGGATGTTTCATTGTTGTTTGACCGAGTCCAGCCGTGATTTGTCGCTTTACGTTGATCGCACTTTGCACGGTTATGTGGACCTTCTGCAAGGAGGCTGTCTCTTTTCCTCTCTAATCCATACTGGCTTTACACTTCCTCTCTGCCTTTTCTTTTTCTCTTGCGATGCACTCTACGTACAACCGTGTTCTCCATAGTCTTCAGAGAGAATGTTGTCGTTCTTGCGCTTAGTGGTAGCCATATGGTCACAGCATCCACGCTACAGAGCTTGTCACCCTCTACACACCATGTTATCCCCAACGTTCCTGCGGCGATATAGTTTTTTTCCATGGGACTATGTCTTCGGGGCAGTAGTGCTGCCCGATTTCTAATCGATTTCTCATTACTCACCGTATCGACTCACATATTTTTATACAGGTGCATTTAGTATAGATGGATATTGGTTATTGTTCGCCAGAAAACACTGCACCCTACGACTAGTTTCGGGCTTATTTAATCTCACTAGATGTAGCAAGCACTCGAATCCGTGGTCTTTAGGGTGTACGGCGAAGTCCCAATCCCTAAACCACCGGATCACGATGGGCGACACTTGTCAGGACGGTGGATGACTGATTTCAGGGGGTCATTTTGAAGCACTCGTTATATGTGAATGAATTTCGCCGCACAATATCAACCTGAACTGCGATTCGCATTGAAGTGACCCTTGGTAACACTTGTCAGGACGGTGAATGACTGATTGCAGCTTTCCTTTGAAGCTCTCGTTGCGCGAATGAATTTCGTCGCACAATCTCTACCTGGACCGTGAGTGAAGGAGAAAAATATGAGGTTTGAAACCGGTTTTGGAGTGCAGTGGTTTTCGCGCGGGCAACACTCCATCTATCCAGCTGCTTCATCTGTTGAGATTGTGCCTCACAATCCATTCACACAGCAAGTACATTTGAAGCACTGCCTCTCCAGTCACAGTCTGAACCAATCACGTGTGATTTAGCTTGCTCACATCCGATCTAGCATCCACCTTTATGCTCTCGCTACTGTTGCATTGTCCCTACGGTGCAGTTGCCTCCCTGCACACGTCTGGTGGACATTTCGTGTCTCTGTGTGTCACCTGCCCCCCCCCTTAATTTGATCATCTTTGTCCTCCTCAGCATTAAAGTCTCCTGTCGATTCCGTTTTCGATACTTAGTTCCGCCGAATGGGGCTCCGCTCTAAATCCTACACTAACTTCCTTGTGTATACCTGAAGAACCTCTCCATGGAGTTCATCGGAGCACATACGATGTCCATCAGAAACGTTCCATCTCCCAATTCTTCGCCAACTTTACGATCAGGTTGATCGTAAATAGCTTTTAGTTGATTAATTTTCTTTGCCATAGGGTTTGTTCCTTGATTAACTAGAAGGTTTGTACTGTACTTGCGTATGGCGTAGTAGGTGGCGGAAACTTATTTTGTCTTCAGTCACCGTTGTTGTATGTCATTTCGCTTGAGCACTGACATGCGAATTTACGCACGCGTGTGGTGTATTTACTCTTTCCCTATGAAGTGCTATTGCCTACTACTTCCTTCTACTGTTCGCAAACCAGTTTTCTTGTGCAAGATAGTTCGCAACCTATTTTTTCTCTATTGCATCCATAGCCGCCACACCTCATTTCACTTGTGCCGCAGCACCCACCATTCTAGGCGCACCTACTGTTTTCGCATAGATATGGGGAAAGTACCCGAATGGGATCCACAAGTAACTCGAACCCTCAGACCTCTCTCTCTCTCCCAACACACTCCCTCAGTTGTAACAACGTTAACCGGATAGTCCAAAACCCTTGGAGATATTTGATAGGGCGCACACCACGGGATTACACGCTCGTTTTAACTCAGTCTCTTGTGAAAATCACGCCTGCTACACACTTGCTTATGTAAATTCTTGCGACACTCAAATCTTAGAGATCAAGTTTACCTCACACCACCTTAGGTGGCTGTCGTTATGCGAGAATCCGTTTTCGCTGTATCCATACTATTCGTTCAGGTAACTCCATCGTCTGATTTCGTGTTTCCAGCTCCGCTACTCGTTATTGCGTACTACCTGTCCTTCCATACTGATTCACTTTTCTTTGCATTGAGTCGTCACCGATCATTCCTTATCATCTCCTAATGTTTTTCGGTTTTTTCAGTACTCTCACTCGTGGCGATTTACGCATCAACCTGCAAGTAGACGGCGATGTCACTCGCATGCAAAGTCTTCCGGTTGGCACATGGATTCCGGAGTTGCATCGCGCCACCTGGCGGATCCCATTCGCTCAAGAACCCGACTCTACCATACCAGCTGCCTCCACAAATGGTACGGTCCGTGCAAAATTCACACTGAACCGAGGGCCTGGTCGGCCTCAACCGGTCGCGTTGCAGTTCTTCCGCGAAGAATGCCTCGCCAGCGGGATGCGACTTTATCTAGAGGGATCCAGTTACCGCATGAGCTTGTGCAAACGACGAATCATCGGCGACCGTTACATCTGCGACCCACCCAATCACTTACCACGTTTTCAGCTTCATCCTCCTCTCCCCCCTACTACTAATTCGTCTGCCACTGTCTTTCATTCGGCTCAGCCTCTTTCAGCTGACACCACTTGCCCCTGTCTGTTGCACGCTTCAGAGCATGGCTAGTCTCCATACGCCAATGCGGCTTGCTTTTTCACTGAGACAAATACGCTCATTCAGCTAGCGACTGCGCTGGATCCGCATGTGATCTCTCTCCACGGCTATACACTATATCGAATATCGTTCCTTTCTGTTCTCCCTTCACGAATACTTCTCTTACCGGATCACGGATCATTCATTCCGGACTTCATGTAATTAAATCTTATCTGAACACATTTGCACACGCACACTCAATAATGCATTTGTCCAGGCAAAATGCATAGTTTTTCTCTTGCTTCCCCACCATTCCTCTTACACCTTCATTTATCGTTTTCAGAACGCCTAATCACCAGAATTCTCCTTTGTTCTCTACTAGGTTTTGAGACACACTGTGCATTCCGAACTGCCTTCCAAGTCTGTTTGAGGCGGTAGCAATAGTTTAATTTCTCATACCTCCTTACATGTGTGCTTTTAATAAGTGTTAAGCGATTAAGTCAGTAACTTTTGCGACAATTGTTGCCCGTCGACACTTGGCGATGTAAAGGTAAAATCTTCCGACAGTCCCTGTTTCTCGGGTTCGCTACCGCTACTTGGCTAGTGCTGTTCAACACGAGACCGCTGGTGGCGTGCAACAACTAATGTTTGCCTACTTCAGATACGGCGAAGTGAATCACTTTCCAGATTGTGATTCCGTGTCGCAATTCATTCACACAACTCTTCAAAATTACTACTCAACTGAACCATTGACAAGTGTTGCTAGCCACAACTCACTAGTTTACGTTTCGGCTAGCTTCCCTATCTCCCGGGACGCGACTTCATTGTTGCGGTATCAGTGGTGCCATAAAACCCTGGTGATTCTTCTGAAGCATCAATTGTCCGAAGCCGCAATACCAAACGTAAGTGGGCTGGGAAAAGGGTGATTGCCAGCCTTGGAACGATGCTTTGCACCTTGAATGTCGTAGGACATTACGTGCGTGGATACCTCAGTTGCCAAGCGTATCATCGCGAGTGGCACAGTTTGGCCGCCATCAAGGAGATACTGTCAGAATGAAATGCGCTAGTCATTTGATTATGTTGCAGGTCTGTATTAAAATTTGGGTTAATTTAATGAAACGTCCTCAGTTGCATTCTTTGGAGTGAACCATGACGTCCTGGTACCGAACGATGTGGAAAGTTTTCCACGATTACTCACCCAAGCTAAAACATGGGGTACATAAAGAACTATGCAACGATTGCAAAGTTGGACTTGGAGAATCCGTTGGTGGTTGGGTTGCTACAAGCAACCTCTATTGAGACCTCGGTTCACTTGAGGTGGATCTCGATCATTCCGACCACAAGGACCGGAGACTCCGTTTCTTTCTTAGGCGATGCCACGAAGAAGACCGATTTGCTATTGGAATGCATTTCCCATGTAACCAACCTTCGTCCTCTGGCACGGGCGACCGTGCTCGTCGGCCGGAGCGGGACTCATGTTGCTTTTTGGAACCAGACATTCCACGAATTGGTAATAATTTCCGAAGCTGATTGGACGGCAGCAGTTTATGGATGATTTCGTGTGAAAAGAAGTCCCCTTATTAACGGATAAAATGCGTGGTTTGTTAATTCTGAATACTTGGCTAACCGCTTTCGGTTGGTGCGGGAACGTTGACAGTGGCGTTATGTACCCTCTCCCTGCAGATTATTACTACAAAGGCCTCTTGCAGGATGCGAATCGAAACAGTTATATCTCAGTCTTCCCATACTGTTTACGGAGTCCTCAGTGCTTAGATTCGATTTACGTGTCTGGCACTCCGTTAACTTCATCTGACCCAATGCAATCTCAACAGAATACTTGCTGTCCCGCTAGTTTTCTCATTTGTCAGTACAAATTTCATTACTGTCTTGTGCACCGCGCTTTGTGACTTTATCGTGTTGCTGTCTTGGCTTACTCTAACTATGTCATTCAATTCATGCTGAGCTTTGCGGCTCCGATTTTGACCTGAAAACTATCAAACAAATTCGGCACAGTTGTTTGGACTTGAACTAGATGAGCCTATCACTGGGGTCTTGGCTAGATTGACTCTCCCAAGCACTTAGAACACATAATCCGGCGTTAGATCCGAGTACACTATTCACAGTCAATGATGTAATCGGACCCCTTCAACACGTAGCATGCCGTCCTCGCGAAGTGGCATGGCAATTAGACTTCACACTGTGGTGCATGTCTACTTTGATGGCATCTAGCTTAGTCTCACACTCACAAGCCCGCTCCTTCGATGTTTCCATCAGTTAACTGGTCACTCATCCGGCCGTACATCTCTCGTGTCATTGTCAGCTGATGCGCTATTAGGTTGCTCCAGGTGGGCACCTGGCAGGGGCGCTCCGCGTTAACACTTGGAGACAAGTGACGACACAGTGCCTACTCCACATGTTACCTGTCTCCATGTAGGCGTTTTGTGGCTTATCTACTTTCCCAAATGAACACACTGACCATAGGCTTCTCGAAACCTTCCACAGGATATATGCGCAGTGACCACAAATGCAGATGTTAAACGGGAGGAACTGACGTGAAGAGTACATAGCTGTGACTGGACGGAGCAAGTTGGTACCGAGGGGTGTCCTACTTGGTATATCCTGATGTACCTTGTGGCCGTTCCGTATCCCTACAAACTAATCATGTACCGCTTGGTTTTCTACTCACTTGACTTTTTATAACGCGTCTGATGATGGCTTAGACTCAGATGGTGCTGAAGCGTCTACACACCAGGCAGCACTGGATTCCTGAATGAATATTCGTCAGTGCTGCTAT